GGGCTCTGAAGGGCCCTGCCCACCCAAACCACTCTGTGATTTTTATAAAAAGTGGAAGCTCCTCAAGTTTTATTTCCTCTTTAACACCGGATTTCTGAAAGGTATATTTTTGGCTTTGCATCATGACATCATAAATTGATAATGATTTTTGATTGAATATCAAAAGGGTTTAGTATTGGTGCTGCTTGTTAGACCTTAATACTATGAGACGCCCCATTTGTACGCACCTCCCGACTCCCCTTGATTCCTGTGGGTTGGGTTACATCCAGACATGCATACACACACCTGAGGGTGTTTCTCACGCGCAGCTGAGGCAACATAACAGCTAACCCCCGATGAAAAGGGAAAGGTCGAATTGCCCATCCATCTTGGGAAAGAAAAGAAAGGTACTGTTGTATAGTGGAGTTTAGTATTGTACGAAGTATGTACTTTGCTTCCCCTGCCCGCCCCCCATGAAAATCTTTTTCTTCCGCAAATTCAAAGATTTTCCTGTATTATTATTTTCCAGAATTACATTGCACTCAGGTTCCTGAGAACCGAACCACAAAAGCACTAGCTGTAGAGCCTCTTGTACTGGAATCCCCTCAGAAGTTCTTCTTGCGTATGAAGCAGAAGTTGCAGAAGCAGCGAAAAGGTACTCGGTAGTGCTCTTAAAAACACTTCAAAAACTTCCTTGACTTGAGGGTTTCTGTTCTCATTTATAATCTCTCACGTGCTTTGGCAGAGTATCATCCTTCTTTCTTTGTAGCCTGCGCACAGTGGAAATTGGAGGAAGAAACCTGCAAATGTGCCTTTTCAGACCTGGAGATGGCGTTGGGCTTGGTTTAGCTATGGTTTAGGGCTGTGGGCTTCTGGCCTTGAAGCTTGACATCCTCAGTCCCTTTGAGTGCGCTGTCTCCTCTGACAACAAAAGCCATCTGCCTCCAGGCTCCTGATGTGGTTAAGAGTTCTTTAGAGAGTAGGTGTAACGCTTTGCCATTTGAATGTGAAACTTAGTGGAAAAATCCTAAGCCTCTTATTTGCTGGCTCTTTGTTTGGTTTGTGTTTTTTTTTTCTATTTCCCCCCCTCCCCCCTTTAGCTTTTAATACATAAAGAGAAAAGGTTTGGTCTGTGAGAACTTCTCGTTTTTTCTTTTTTTCCCATATTGCCATATTGTTACTTGATAGTAACCCTGTATATGCTTCTGTCCTGTAATTCAGTTTTGAAAATGCAGATGAAGAAAATGATGCATGCCAAAGTCTTAGTGGTATTCAACTTCAAGCTGAACTTAATTTATTTGAAAACTCAAACCCCAATGCTTGTAGCTCCCAGCATAGCAGCAGCGTGGCCAGAAGTCCAGATCTTGAAGTCTGGAAAGATGGAAGTATTTGAGATTTTGTTTTTTGTGAAAACAGATTTTTTTTTTTTTTCTGTTACTCTGCAAGGCCGATTCATTAAAGAAAAGATAGGAAGAATGGTAAAGACATACTATTAAAAGATATGGCGTGCAGTAGCTTGTTTTTTGGGGGAAAGTGGGATATCTGTAGGTCTTTAACAGAAGGGGTATTGATCTGGTGGTGAGGAAAAGCTAGTCCAAACAAATTCCAAGAGTGGCTTGCTGTTAACAACTGAAATAGGCAGTGCTTTCACAATTGCTGTAATGCTAATCAGTACAACCTCCTCTTATTAAAAATTGAGCTAACTTTATGAATGTATTTTTATCCGTTCTCAAATATCACTAATTTCTTTGTTATTCCTTTTTGTTTTTTTAATGGGCAGATCCAACACCTTCAAACCCAATCAAGCAGAACGATCCTCCTTCCACAACTACAGAAAAGCCAGTAGTCAAATCTACTTTTGCTGAGCAGCTCAGGAATGGTCCTACAGACTATGCGGCCACCGATAAGGATGATCAGGACAATTTCCTTATGGAATCAATGGATGCTGATGATGAAATGTCTCAAAATACAATGACTAGTTCTGTGAATTTAAACTCCGCCCCTTTTGAAAATGGGGATCAGTTAGAAGAAAGGTGGGGAAATGGAGAAGCAAAATGTACTGAACTTCATCAGGACAGAAGAGAGTTGCAGCCAAGTCATAAGCAAGCTGCTCGTGGAGTAGAAAAGATACTGGAGACTAATTCTGAAAAGCCCTCACAGTGCTTTTGTAGTATTATGCTCTCTTCTCCCAAAATCCACATTCCAAGGAAGCAAAAGCCAAAAGGCGGCTGTGAGGTCCCTTTGGATAAACCTCATACAGATCAAGTTGCTCGCAGAGCTGACAAAGAGGTGAGAGAACTTAATACTTTAAGGCAACTGATACATTCCTGTGGGCTGCTTGTAGCTCATAGTTGCGATTGATTTATTTATTTTCTTGTCAAAAGTAATGAGCATGTGGAAAAGAATAAACTATTATTTTATTAGATTGTACTGGTAAACGCTTTCCCATCAAAATGATTTCTTTTTACCCCGTGCTCCAAGATGACAGTGTTCAGGGTTCTTTGTTGTTGGGTTTTTTTGTATAAAAGGTGGCCTTTTGGTTTGGTATTCACAAGCCACAGTATGGGCTGAAAGAGTTCTCTACGTGAAGGAGCCTCCCACATCATCTCTTTAACACCTCAATTGCCACGTGTTGATACGATGGACGTGAACCAAATCGCTGGCCAATCCAGCTGTTGGCTGCCCACGCAGAGCCAAGGGGGAGGGCTCTTTCCTAGCTGTAGGCTAGGGATGGTTCTAAAGGTAGCTGAATCTGTACGGCTGACAGTGAGGTAAAAGTCTTGGCTTTCCTAAGAATATCCAGGCTTCTGCTGAATTAAGTGGGACAAGAATCTTTTCCTAGGAGACTAGTCTGCAGATCTTGTTTTCAGTTCAATACATGCTTGGCAGTGTTTACAACTTCCTGAATAAACCTTGAGGGAAGTGGTCTATTTTGAAGGGTACCACATCCCTCGGTGATTAGCCTGGGAAATGTAGAAGCATGCCTTCCCAAGGGTCGAGTTTCCTCTGTTCCCTGGAGAAATCTGTGGGATTGCAGTCCTCTTCAAGTTAAGCAAGTTAATGGTTTCGTTCTCCCTCACTGTTGTCGAGCATGTTTTATACGTTTTCCTGTATTTAAAAACAAGAGTTACCTTTATGATGAGCTTTGATTTAGATGAGGAACAGGTATCTGTTAATATTAAAGGTTTGTAGCTGAGCAGAAGATGCTGAAAGAGGTGTTGTTATTGGCCACTACATGTCTGAGCATCCAGTCGGCGCTGGCTGTCCGGGTCGGGTACCTTTCCTCAGCCAGGCTTAGGTCATTGCTGCGATCTCTAGTGAAGTCAAGGCTGATGGGCAAAAGGCAAACAGCATTAAAGAAAAGATCTGGAGTTTATTAACTGAAGTTGTGAGGAGAAATAGTGATAGTTTCAGATGTTAAAAAATCGTTTTCCAAGAAGTTTCTTTCTTTCTTTTTTTAAAACCAAGTAGTATGTTTCACACACAAGTTTTCCAAACTGCAACTCAAGTGCAACTGGCTTGCTGGCTCTTTAATGCAAAATGAAGGTACTGCAGCTGTATGTGTGTCAGTAGTTTGCCGTACCAGATATAGCCATTTTAATGCTGTCTAAATTTTAGCAATAAGGTAGCTAATAAATACAATTTTATTTTCTCACGGGTAACTCTTTTTCTGAATAGTGACAGAGGACAGATAAGGAAGTGTAAGAGGTATGGCATAGCGTTGGTATCTTTTGTGAGGAGCTTTTTGGATTTGCTAGAGGTCTTGGCCAATGGCTTTGTCTTCTGAAAGTCAACATTACATTACTCAAAAGTTTCTGTAATTTAAATTCCTGTCTTCACTTGTGCATTAGACTTCAGCTTGATCATGCTGAAGTGTATACATTTACGTGTATAACAGTTGCTTTCAGTTTTTCTGGTCTGGAGGATGGTGCTTAAATACCTTCTCAAGTCATACAGGAATTAATTTCTATTTTGCTAATGCCTTGGTGATGTTGCATAGCTTAGTCTAACTTAAAAATGCCTTTTTTTTTTTAACAGAAAAATATCTGCCTAACCAGCTGGAGAATTAAGGTGATGGATGGTAACACTGCAATATGTGTTGAAGGAAAACGGAAGTAAGACAAAGTTTTCTGATTTAAATGCAATGTGAAACATGTTGGTGGGCTTTCAGCATCTGAGCTAGAAAGGCTGTACCATCGTTGCCCGGCTGAGTAGCTGTAGCTTTGGGACTTGTATTCTTGGAATATCTTGGTAACTGTTGGAAGCAGTTCCACACACTTCTGCCATTTTCCTCCACAGCCGCAGGGAACACGGCCCTTTGCTTGCATCCTGACCCTTGTGACAGTGCTTACAACTCTTACCATTTTTTTTAAACATAGTTCTCTGTCTTCTAAGCACGCGGGACCCATTTGCTGCAGAGCCTGCAGAGGGGCAGAGCTGGTGCACGGGGGGACGGGGGGCTGCACGGCTGGAGGCTGAGGAATGCTGGGGGACAAGGAACAGTGGCTGTCCTGGTCAGGTGGCCATGGGAGCTGCGCCTTCACGGAACTTACTCTTAGCCTTTGGTAAACAGACAGTGATGTTACAAACTTCTTTATCAAGGAGGAGGTGAATTCCTTCATCTGTGCAAGAGGTAGAGTGCCTACATACAGGAAGATGCTGGTTAAATAATTATTTCAAAGTCCAGTCCTGAGTTAATGAAGGAGCTTAAGAGGAGTAAAGACAAATGTGTTTGTCTAGTAGATCCCCCAAACTGGTGCTGACCAGGGGGTTATGGGCATCTACTTCATTTCACAAAAAATTCTATTTTGTGGCTGCCCTAAGTCAAACTTGCTGCAGGCTGCTGTCAGCCGTATGTTCCTGCCATATCCTTTGTGATGGCACTATGACCCCTGCAGCTATATGGTGAACCATGGTGGCAGCTGATCCACCTGCAAACTGACTCTGCGGTTTTTCTGGTTATGTTTTTGGTCAGATTTTATTCAAATAGCTGTAAGATCAGGAAACAAGTGTCAGAACAAAGTAGAGATTTAGCTTGCAATAAAGTTGTTTGAAGACATTGTGAGAACATACCCTTGGAGAAGGGTATTCTACTCTTTCTGTAGTTAGTAACTACCTAACGCATAGTTACTTACCTGCTGAAAACTCAGAACCCCACCCGACGGCAGTAGCACTGTGAAAGGAAGTAATTCAGTGTGCTTAGAGGTGTTGGGGGGAGGCTACATCTTCTGTAGTAGGAATTGACATTTGTTTCATGGCTGTATGAAAACAGCTGATCCTCTCACTTTGCACCCTTCACCACTAGCAATTCACTTGTCATTTGTGTTGGTGTGTATCTGATCATGTTGCTTACACATAATAGATTTCATTTGGTTTATGGACCCTCTGAATGGACTTCTGTTAATATTTTGTGACAAGTTATACAGCTGAATGTTTTCACTGTCGTCTTGGGTTTCAGTCCTTAATATTGTTCTGTAGTTCGATCTGTTGTAAGAGTATATTTAGAAAAAAAAAAAAACCAAACCCACAACACACACCCCCAAAATGAAAAAGTGGAGATTTTCTACTTTAATGCTTGGGTTTGTTTTTTATTTCTCATGGAGAAGTCCCTTAATAATTCCTTAACAACTCTAATTTTGGCACATACTAGGGCTCCTTCTTCAGTTGTTCTTGTCTTTCAATAGGAAGGTCAGAAATAAATATAATAATCCTGGGGAAAATACACATTTGACCTGTATAATAGTACTTTTGTAACTTGCGTAACGATATCACTGCAATAATGAACTGAATGGAGTCCTGTAGTCCATTTTGCTTCTGCAGCCTAATGTCAAGCTAATGTTCTGTGACTAACGTTTGCAGTAGCTGACACGTTCATTTTGTCTCCTGTCCAAATATTCGACAAGGCCAGAACTGTTTCTCTTCCAAGCTAAGGAAAGAAAACCTAGCACATCCTGCCGGTGTCTGCATCCCTCATAAAATACGTGACGCTGCCAGTCTCATATGGCATATCAATATTGTCGTTTTAAATTCCGTCTTCTGTGAAAACAATGCTTTATTTCTGTTCTTCATGTTATCTGTCTTTTCTTAGAGACATGAAAGATCTGTGTTGGCACAGTAATGCAATTATGGAACGCATAGCACGCAACCAAGTTAAAACAGCATCTGGCAGTATCTACTTGCTACAGGGAAATATAGATTCAGCTTCGATGAGAAAAGAAGGTGAGGTGATGATTCTTAATGTAACATTATAAGCGGAGGAGGGCTTTAGATTTATGACTGAACATGCTGCTGAAGCAAACATTTTGTCTTATGCTGCTAATTGGGCTTGGTGGGTATTCAGCACGTGCTGGAAAGTGACTCCATCAGATTTCCAGATGCTATCGAATGCTCGCTGTAGCTGGCATTTTGAGGGTGCTGCAGTTACAGAGAGGGCTTTCAGATCATGGGGTTGGCTAATGGTTATGTTCCTTTAAAGAAACTGTTTTTTGCTAAGACTGCCTTTATGCAATTTTGGTCAATGTTTTGGCACTTGAATAGTGCCAAGACATTCAAATGGGGACTGTTTATACACTACTGAAATTACTCCGGTGTTCGCATTCTATCTGTGACTTACTATTCAGTGATTCACCACCAGCTCTGCAACACTGCTTGGCATTTCTGGGGACAGATGAGTTATGGTGTCAGTGCTTTATAATTTAGTGTACTGAACCATCTTTAGCGTCCAAGTGCTACGTTATACCAAATCCAGCAACACTTCCTGCTTCAGATTGTTTTGAAGCATGTGGGATTTTAAAGGAGATTCAATTTTGCACACTAAGTTGAAGTTAGGCTAGGCTTTATTCTATTTTTCTTTCTTCACGTGCATCCTCTGTCATGTTCACTAGTAAATGAGCTGCCATGTTAGTGCTTATGGGCAGCTCTAGGAACCTAAAGATCATCTGTGGCATAGATGGAATAAATGCTTGCCTTAACACAGACGTGCGCGGTGCGCGTGATCACGCTCTTTTTAAAGGAGCATGGATGCACTTTGCTCTCTCAGGCCCAGCACAAGGCATCCAAAGATGTGTCCGTGGCTTTAATTTTTTCTTCTCCTTTGCAGTACTGGGGTGCATTCTGATAAATACCTGACTTGGCTGCTCTCTGACTTGATTTTTTTAATTAGTTCCTCTGCTAAATACTTATACTTGGTTTTATTTTAATATTCTGAGAAGGAAAAGTGACAGCAAGAGACTTATGAGCAGAGTGGCTCAAGTACTATAGGGGTTTCCTAAGCCTAAGAGTTAATGGACTGTGCTGGGTCAATTCCTCTGATCTTTGGATTGAGCACTTAGAGCAAAGCGTCCTTCCTCCTCAGCGTCCCCCTCGCCTCCCAACATCCCCCAACACACAAAAAAACTATCAGAGGGTTGGTGCGGAAAATACCCTGAACAGATTCAATATTGATATGTGAATCAAAAGAGAAGTTAACGACGAGCTAATGTAGGTGGAGGGGAGAAGAAAGGCCAGACCTAAAGTCTAACCTGAGGGCAAGGGAGCTGGGGAGGGGTCTGGAGCACAGGGCTGGTGGGGAGCGGCTGAGGGAGCTGGGGGTGTTCAGCCTGGAGAAGAGGAGGCTGAGGGGAGACCTCATCGCTCTCTACAGCTGCCTGACAGGAGGGGGCAGGGAGGGGGGGGGGGGGGGGGGTGGTCTACCACCCCACAAGTGGTAGGATGAGAGGAAATGGGCTCAAGTTGTGCCAGGGGAGGTTTAGATTGGATATTAGGAAGAATTTCTTCATGGGAAGGGTGGTCAAGCGCTGGAACAGGCTGCCCAGGGAAGTGGTTGAGCTCCCATCCCTGGAGGTATTTAAAAGACGTGTAGATGTGGTGCTTAGGGACATGGTTTAGTGGTGGACTTGGCAGTGTGAGGTTTAGGGTTGGACTGGATGATCTTAAAGGTCTTTTCCAACCTAAATGATTCTGTGATTTCCCTAAACCAGTGGCACTGGCAGCTGCTGGGACTGTCAGCAGTGGCACCATCAGTTTGCGAACAACGCTGCACCAGCACAGAGCTACTTGCCTGTGGAAAATATTTGACTGATGTGTACCAATAGTCCAAGTGACAATTTCAGAGACAAAACTAGAGTCATTCTGTTGTATCTGTACTACCCGAAGGGCTTCCCAGGTTTATGATATTGTTGCTAGATACTTGACTGCACCTGATCCTGATGTGGTTGTTCTTTGTCTAAGCCCCATGAACAGTCCGTGTGCTCTTGACTGAACAGCTTCTGTGTCAAGGCAAAATAACGTTTTCTTCCAAGTGGAGTGTCCTCGATATGCTAAGTTCCAAACAGCTTAGACCTACCCGGAGCCTGAAAACCGCAGGCTCTCCGCGGGACTCCTGCACTGCAGAGAAGCCACGTGCCAGTCCGGCTGGATGAACGGGGAAAGCTTATGCTCCCGCTTCCCAGGAGACGAGCACGCTGTCTCTAGACACTGACGTCTGTAACTAACGACCCCTTGGTTGACTTTTCTATGAAGTACGCTGTTCTCTGAAACTGGGGAAACCTGTCTCTCCCTACCAGTGTTTAAAGATGTAGTGAGCTTCTGAGGTACTTACAGAACCGTGATTGTACAGATATTATTTCTACCCGTTCTGGTTAAAAGTATTGCTCAGCTGTTGTTAACTCTACTTTTGTTTCAAACAGGATTTCCCTACCGTTTCATCAAAAGATTTATGTATGGGTTTTCCAAAAAGTGGAAGGAGTACGTCAAGGAGTTTCTTGAGGAAAGGAGGAGGTAATTTCTTTGGAGAATCTGTTTCATTGCAATGTTCTATCAAGTATTTATTGAGATTTTGGTTTTTAAGAATACAATACTAGAGGAGTGTAGAAGATTGTAGGTGCGCGCATGAAGACCGTGTTCCAGGCAAAAGCTGGTCACGGCTTTGGAAGGATACCCCTTCACCTTTCTTCGTTGTACTGCTTTGGTTCTGTTCCGCTTGTTTACGTAGCCTTAAGGACAAGCAGAGGGCTTCGCTGAGGTCGTGGCTCGCACGGCGTCTTACGAGCACAGCTGCACTATGCTGTTGGGCTTTTGCCGAGATGAGGAGACTCCGAGATCACAGAAGTTAATGCCTTGTTAAAGGACAACTTTTTCAGGTGTTTAGTATCTCTTTTCTTAGGAAAGAACAAAAACAAAATACTCGTGAGGACGAAAATGAAGAGAGCGACTCAGCGGTGCGTACGGATGCGTTGAATAATGCAGAAGGCTCAGCAAGAGATGTAAAGAAACCTGCAACCGTAAACACCACCTACGAAGTATTACCGAAGAACGATGAAAACGCTTGTGAGTATTTAATAATCCCTCTCTTTGCAAAAAAGTTAGGGGTGTTTTGAGAGCTGTTTTCCCTGGCAAAAGATAGCTAATGTCTGTATCTTGCTAATTAGGCTGTATGAAGAAGTAACACACTAGGTGGGTGAAGTTTTCTGTTTGTGTTCACTCAGGCCGCAATGGTCAGGAGCCTCGACTTGTTTCTTTATTTCTGGCTGGCTGAGGTGCAGCCGCTACGAGCGCTGAGGTGCTGTCCTGAGGGTCAGCCCTGGGAAGGAAGCGGGGTCTGGTTTGCTCTGTAGCAGCTGAAGGCAGCGTTTATTTGAGCTGTTTATTCTGACAGCAAACTTGACTTGATATTTTTCCAGTTGCTGTTTGGCATAACGTACTCTCCTCTTAGTCTTTCTGGGACGCCCGTGGGCTTTAATACCTCTGTCCAGGCTCCGTCCTCGGGACCCCTCCCCTGCAGCGCCCACCCCCTTTTTTGGCTGGGTTAGTTTTAACTCCCGCCAAGCCCTTGAGCAGGTTTATGGTATGGCACCTTAATGGTTTTGCCACACTTGAGGCACAGAGCGTGATAACGATTGGGGGTGGGTGGAACGGTTGTGGAAACAATTCATTACCTTGGTTTGTTTCTAAAGGAAATGGTTGTAAAGCCGTAACCTATTGATCCACCTGATTTTTCTGTGCCTTGTAATGCAGTCCTAGCTTTGTTACAGACGCTAATACCTTTTGATTTTAACTTTGACTTCTTTTTAATATCTTGTCATAGGTTCCAATAGGGCTTTCGCCAGACTTCATTGTACTATTTAATACTGTAATCAGATTTTCTTGCTAACACTATAAAAGCTGTTTGGTTTTTTTTTTCCCTTCTCATTACAGTGAGGAATTATTCAGTGTGACTTTTCTTTATCATTCTGCTTCCCTATATGACTTTTTACAGTATTCATAACCTACACAAAGTAAAAAGTTCACAACAGTAAATTTTATAATTTGTGAGGATTATTACTTCCATCATGTTAAGGTATGCTTACCTAACCTGAACACTTCTAAAAGAACAATGTGACGTTGTAGTAAGTGTTCTATTTTCCATGTCATCAGTGCAAATGAGCTGGTTTAAATGCAGTATTGCTCCTACGCTTGTGAAGTCTGCAAAGCTGAATTTTCAATACAGTGTTTGGGACAAAACTGTATTTCTTGGCTTTTCTTGTAGATACAACGCCGAAGCACAGTTCCATACTGAATGACTCCAACAGAGTTTACACTCGTAGCGGCCGTCTCGTTAAACCGCCGTTAAACTACTGGTGTGGGCAACGTGAATTTGTTGACCAGAAACTAAATGTTACTATAGAAGAAGGTGGAACAGATTATTTGAGCATGGTAAGATTCTTTTGCACATTGTTACTTAAATGTATCTAAAACGTAATGAACAAACTTTGCTGGGTATCTAACAGAAAGGGTCCAGCTCTTAAAAGTACCTGAAGAGGCAGGAAATCTTGAGGACATGATAAAAACATTTTGAAAGAAACAATCTGTATTACCAGAGAATTGTTGTTGTCTGTCAAATGGGGATAGTGGGGAATTACTTCTAGAAAAATAAGTGGGTTTTTTGAAAGATAAATCTGTCAAACAGGAAGCTGCACCCAGCTACTGGTCTGGGTCACAGAGGTTCCCAAGTAAGGCGTTTTCTGTCACGCTGAGTCCCTGCCGCACCGCAGTGTTTAATCACGCCAGGGTGCCAGTGCTGTGGGTGAGCTTTGTGCTAACCCCTGCTGCTCTCGGCCCTCCCCTTCCGGGCAGGGCTGGGTGTTCATTAGGCCCAGGTGTTTCCTCATCTCTCGTCTCCTGATCCGTCCGGGCCACCCCAGGTTTGACTGAGGTGTGCCGTTCTTATTTACGATGGCACTTCAAGCAACGGATGCTGTTGTGATAACAAGTGAAGGAAAGCGCCGTTCTTTGCGGTAGTTGCGAGCTTTCTTTTCTTTCTCCAAGATTAGTTGGCCTTATGGAACGGGGGCCGCGCTAGCACTTGTCATCAGCTGCGCCACTTGGAGGTGTACGTCCAACGTACCGCCAGCTCAAGCAGTTCTAGGTCTTAGGATTTTAACTTGTGTTTTAGAATATTTAAATTTAAAGGGCGTCTGGCTAAGTTGCTTTGGTTGCATGAATGTGTATAAACGCCTGTGTTCATCAAATAGTATGTTGTAGGTACTGGTCAACGTAGGCGACTTTTAAATCTACCCATCCTGTAAACATTTGGCTTTTTCAGAGCTGGCGTCGGTAGGCTTGATATGTAATCTCTTGCAGAAGCTTAGATTAAATTGTTTTATTTTGAAGATGTTTAGTAATGAAAAATCCCAAAGAAAGACCAGTTCCATCTCTAAGAAGAGTAAAAGAACGGAAGTAATGAAGGCAACAGAAGAAACAGCAAAAAGCCAAAGTAAAGGTAAAAAAAATAATTTTTTTTTTTTTTTTTTTTTTAAATTTTTTTTTTTAAAGTTATTGACTAGAATCAGTGGGATTGTGGGTTGGGTGCTGGAGCAGCATGGTGATGGCCTATTAATGCAAAGAAATGATCTAAATCTTTTAATGGTGGATTGCTGCTTCTGTGAAGAATTATCAGAGTAGCATTAATGCCCAGCTTCCTAGCTCTACAGCTCCGAATATAAACTACATTTGTAAATCACTTCTTTACGTAATGGGAACGTGCAGATTTCTTTCCGGAAATTGAAATGAAAATATTATGATTTTTTTTAAGTTTCTGCCCCTGTACTTTGGATCTCTCAACTCAGCTATCACATGTGACTTGAGGGAGCCTGAAGAGAAGCGGAGATCACCAGTCCCGTGAACTGGTGGTCTGGCTTTGCTTTTTAGGCTGGATGAATTAAAATAAATGACATGCCTACATAGGCAAAAAAAGCGTATTAACAGTTTTAAAACCTTTTTTTTTTTAAATAAAATTTGGGACATAATAGAACCCTGAAAACAATACAGAGTATAAAGCAGATAACACTAGGTGCTGTTTTTACTCAGTGTGTTTGGTAAAGTTATGGACATCCCTTAACAGAAATGAGTTTATAGTTGTCTGTCAGGTAAATTTTTGGAAATAGCGGATAACCTGTGCTATGGGTCTCTTAAACGGGGAAGGGGCGGGCAGTCCAGAGCGTGACAAAGTGTTTCCTGGCATCACCAATTTCTCTCTTCAACGACATTTTGCTGCGCTTTGGAGGGCAGCAGTTTTTGCTTTTTGTATCCCAGCGTGACCATTCCACAGAGCATCTCCTTGTCCTAAGACCTCCAGTGCTCTCTTTGCGTGGGGAGAGGCTTCTGCAGAGCACGGGGAGCACAGTAATGATTTCCTTTACAATGTGTGATATTATATTGCCATCCTCTCTTTCAGGGGAAAAAAACGAAAAAGGAGCAAGTTCCAAAAGAGAAACCAACCCCCCTGGAAGCAAGGAGGCCAGGCGCTGCATTTCGGATGACGGTGAAAGCACTCATGCAATCAATAGTACAAAAATTAAAACACGGCTTTCTGTTAAGCAGACTGCCTTAAATACTGAAGTACTAAACAAACATAACTACAACAGCACAACCCCAGGAATGACAAAGGAAAAGAGAGGAACAGAAAATGGAGAATTGACAATGTACCAGCAGGCTTACAAGTGCTCTTTAAGGTCAGCCAAACGCCTTCAAGGCAAGCATTTAAGAGAAGAATCGTCAAGCAAAGATGATGAGGAGGAATCCAGTGAAGATATCCCACTGTCTATCAAAAGGAAAAATCAACCTTTATTTAAAAAAGAGACTCAAAACTCTAAATCTGCCTCTAACTGTAAAAGCTCACAGGACGACGCAGACGCGGTGGTGCGTGAACAGCGGATGGCAAAACGCTCTGCCCCCGCCAACGCGCCGCTGAGGCAGAGTGCACCCGCGTCCGGGTCTGATTTACTGGAAGGAAAAACACCTTCTAGTGAGTCCAGTGCTTCCCATCTGCCCGATACGGCAACGAGGACAAGAAGCAGAATCAACCCTCCGCGGTATCTGCTTGAATCTGACACTGAGACAGAAAGCAGTGACGAGGAATTTCAAGTAAAAGAAAAGAATTCAAAAGCACCTGATAAAAACCCGAACTGTAAAGTTTCTAATACTGCCAAGTCTTCAGCAGCAAAAGCGAGAGAACCTGGGAGGGAAAAGGTGCAGAAATCTCTAGAACTTTTTCCGAGGGCAACTGATGGTTGGTCTGAAAAGGAATTACAGAAGCTCTACAGGCAAGTGGTTGCCCGGTCTTCCCAGGGCAAAGATTCCCTCGGACGTCGGGAGGCATAATATACCGAAGGGTTTGCATGGTCCGGATTTGGATTTTTCAGATTCAGTCTCCTTCCACATTATTTTAAAGGTTTCCTTTATGTTTTAATTCCCTCTTACAAAATACATTCTGTTAACAAATTAAATAGTGAAATGAAGGAGACAAATGAGTTAGAGTTATTTTTTTTAAAGTAACTGTAGATGCACGAGCCTACAGCAGCCCCTACCGCTGTCGTCAGCGTAAAGCGAGAGGAACACAGATATTAGCCCAAATTTTGTGAATCTACTCCTCTGTTTTTCAAAAACAGATACTTAATCTTGTTAAAAGTGATAAATGTTCCTATGAGTAAAATTGAAAAACACAAGTAAGTAGATAATATGGTAAAAGCATTCATATTTATGATTTAGACAGTAAATTAGGGGTAGCATATTGTCTCCCCCAATGGAGTAAAATGTTCAACATGACGTGCTTATGTATTTAAGTCTGGTAAAGGGGAGATCAGCTGCAAGAATGTTTAATTAATGCATTCTCCAATTATTTAAGCTACTGGGCAGTATTTAATATATACATTAAGTAATAAAATGACCGTGTTTGGTTTTGTTTCTTTTAGACTAGAAACCTGAACAGGTGTGAGCTCGTGTCTCGGGGGGTGGGGAGGACCTGCTTCAAGTAAGGAAGACATTCATCTTGTAACAGAGCCGTTGGCTGAAATTGTACAAATAAATTTTTGCATGTTTTAAAGCATCTGGACAAGAGACGAGATCCTCTACATCCAACGCGCAGCGTCCTTTCGAGGGAGAGCAGCTGCTCTCTGAGGGTTTTTACTCGGCTGCGTTGCGCGGGTTCTTCCGGGTGACGGAGGTTGTGGCTTTGTTCCCTTGGCAGGGCCATTGCTTCATTTCCGAAGCACAAGAACGGCTTCTGGGTGGAGGTAGCCATGGCGGTGGGGTCTCGCTCTGCTGAAGAATGCCAGCAGAAGTATGTAGAAGAACAACAGGCCAAAGGTTCCAAAACGCATGCCAAGAAGACTGCCACCTCGGGAAAACCAGAGCAGAAAGGTACCGACGTCTTGGTTCTGGGTACACGGCTGTTGTTAAATCATTGTAAATTCAGTATTTACTATGTAATGGGAGATGCAGACATAAACACCCATGGGAGGCCGACAGCGAAAAAGGCCATCTTCTGTAGTTCAAGGGTTTGTTGCAGAGCTTGGAGGATGTCATAAATGACTGAAGTCACGAGAAGAGAAGGGATATTTGTAGAGTTTTCTAGTTTTTGGCACGATGGGAAGACTTAAACTGGCTTTGCCGCCTAAGGGAAAATAGCTATTTCTATTTTAAGAGGCTCTTGAAGCCCAGTAGATAGTGAGCTACTTGCAGAGCTGTCGATCCAAAAAGGGTAACGGGGCGCGCGTAGGCACTAAGGGCCGCGTGGCGCACGAACAGGGAAGGTGCGTTCTCTGGGGTCTGGCACTGAGGTGCCTGTTGCTGTTTTCTGTCCAGCTCCGCAGTCAGTAACTCCTGTGTACGGATAGCAAGTACGCCCTGAAGGGAAAGGCACAAGTTGCTCAGTCCAGGTATTTCACACAGAGGAGGTTACGACGGCTTAGTAAGTGCTGAGGTACGGAAAGCTGTTTGATAGCAACTCCTCTAGCTGGCGGAGACGTGCCGTCGCTCAGCCGTGGAGGCTGAGGCTGTAAGCGTTACGCAGCTGTGGGCACAGATGACTCCGGTGCTGTTTCTCGGTGGTTAAAGCTCTGCGTCAGTCTCCAGTTATTGAAAGCATTAAAATCATTTTTTCGGTCCAAATGAGGCGATGCAGGTTCCTCACCTTTACCGGCCTTCACACGGGAACGCTTGGCTCCGGTTCTGCAGCCTCCGTAACGGAGAGCGGCCCAGATGACCTCAGCAGGTTTCCCTGCCCTTAAAGTCAGTGAACTGCAATGTTGTTCGGACCTGGAAAAGCACCAGACTGAGGGTTCAAGTCTGTGCAGCAGAGCCGAGCACTCTGCGCCTCTTGACACGGTGATAAACCTCAGTGTCTTTTGTCTCTAAAATGCAGACGCATGGATAATTCTGTTAAAATAACGACGAAATAGCTGATGGATGATTGACGCTCGCAATGGCTACGTAGGGCTCTAGAGTAAGCTTCCGATTAAGATGTAGTAGAGAAATTCTTTTTGAAAGCATAAATTGTATAAGAACTCAAAGGATCACAAAGAAGCTATAAGACATTTCCACAAAGGGGAGACTGAAGTGTATCACCAGCATTGATTGCAGTTAGCGAATTTTAAAACCATGCTATGTAACTAATGTCTTGGAACAATTAATATTTTGATTCACATAGATAAGAAAGAGCCGGTTACGATAACTGCCAAAGTGGGAACCTTCAAAAGAAAGCAGCAGATGAGAGATTTCCTAGACCATTTGCCGAAGGACAACCACGACGATATTTTCACCGCGACGCCCTTTCAGAACAGAAGAGTAAAGGTAAATCTGGGAAAACAGTGTACGTGTGCACGTGCTTCCCTGGTTGGTATTTCAGGGGCGCGTGACAAGTCTGCCGGTTCAGTTCCACCAATAAAACCTCGTGGATTTGGGGGGAAAGGCTGGTTTCCTGGGATTTGTTATTGCAACACTTGGATTGCCGGCAGCGAGAACGCGCGGAACGCGGCTCCTGCAGCGGAGGGTTGCCTGAAGGGCTGCGGAGGGCCAGCCTGCGGCA